ACGACTTTCGGACCACGCCTTCAGTGGCATAAGCCGCTACTGCAGTAGACTGATTTGCACTAGACGTGGAGCACGGAATATCCCTACTAAAGCGCCAGAAAGTTAACTGGTATAAAAATATTTCTTTGGTACACACAGCTTGTGAAAATTAGTTATGTAGGGAAACGAAAACAAGAAAACTACAGATTTCAAACAGTATTTGATCTATATCATACGAATTAAACATTAAAAGAAATGTAATACCTAAATTCCCAATGACGTAAAGAAGAGAAATAACGCTTGTTTTGAGAAACAGTTGTCGGAGTATCACTATCTAGGTCGTTAGATTGTAATATTTAGTCCAGTCAAAATCCATAATATTTTAACGCATTTTGAAATATGATAAAAGGCCATTAGATCAATTCGAAATTGACAGATTACCGCTTGAAAACAGTTGCAAAAAATATAAATATCAGCAAAATGAAATAGTCGGAACATGTGTAATTAATAAATGGCGGTGAGAATAAAAACGAACAGAGACATGAATAGACGAAAGGACGGTTTAACAGAGGTCTGCTAATCGAGTCATTCTCCTCCACATTTTCTGTCGTTCATTATATCTTCAAAGGCTTTACACAGTATTTTATCGTTCTTGACGAAATCGTGGCACCTTCTCTTCGGTCTTCCCTTTCTGTTCTTTCCAAGAAGTATCGGCGCTTGGATCACATTTCCAACGTAAAAAGAGCGATAATAAATTGGTATCAGCCTGTGTTATGCAGCAAACTAAATCTTTCTCTGCCAATTTCAAGCCTCCACCGATCTTCTCCCTTTTCATTTTCCGGCTATGATTGGAGGTGAGTGGATGTAGAGAAGTTACAATCTGAAAACAAGGAAGGTTCTTGCTCATCCTTCTCTTCCAAGAATAAAATTTTCTTGGAAGACAACCAATGGAAAACTGTTCGCTTCTGATTTTTCTCTCTCAATAAGTAACCGTTCGTTGAGAGGTAATGAAAATTCATCGCAAAATTCCTTACGTTGTCTCCATTTCAGGCGAGATTATTCCATGCAAAATTATATAACATTAACGT